GTGTCTTCGGCCCGGTTTTGGTCATGAAACGTCTGTAAACCTGCTTCTCTTCCGCAGGTGGTTGGAGTTGAGGATCATCTGATGGGGGAGGAGGTGTGTGCCTGCATTAAGCTGGTGGACGGGCAGGACTGCACAGCCGAGGAGATCAAGGATTTCTGCAAAGGACGGGTGGGGCCTCTAAAAAAAAAAAAAAAACCTGGTTCTGCTCCAGTTTTGCACAAACATGAAACACGGCTCCTAAACCGTTTGCTCCTTTCAGATCTCCCACTTCAAGATCCCTCGATACGTCCTGTTTATGACCAGCTACCCACTCACTGCTACCGGAAAGGTGAGTTCCCCTTTAAAAAACGCTGTAAATTAGAAACAAAAACGCGTCTAAAACAGGCAGCTGATGTACTGCTTCTGAAATCAGATCAAACCAGATCAGGACTCCACACACTCTGAGCACAATGTGTCATAAAAACTCCTCAAATCTGCTGCTCCCTGTTGTCCGGTTGTGTTTAGAGACACATTTGTTTTCAGACAAACTTCAGGAATTAATCCATCATGGAGTCATTGATTTGCTTCAAGGCCAAAACTGAAGAGACCCTTCAGATCCAGTAAAAAAACGACAATAAATCTGTATTTTTTCACACAAACAAGCTTCCGCTCTTTGATCTCAAACTGTGAGACACAAACTACTCAGAAAAAACTAATATCAGCCCAAATTAAAAAATAAATCTCTCTCTAGAACAGCAGCTTTCTCTCTAAAACCTCAACTCATCGGCTGCTGTAGTTGCTTCTATTGGAGCTTTTTTTTTTTTTTAAAACTGGTTATTTGCAGGAATCAAAACAATCTGCTGAGTTGGCACATTTGCTTTTTGTCTCGCCAGATCCAGAAGAACAAACTGCGGCAGGAGGCCGAGAAGCAGCTGCTCGGCTCGGTTTAATCTCTCCACTCTGAGTTTACGGACTGCCTGTTGTGTACCAAAACCGACATTTAGAGCCACAAAAAACCGTCCATCAGACCCAGCTGCTGGGCGGATCGCATCCGGGCCCGAGGCCTGTGTTTAAGAGCTCCACAGACACCCAGAGCTCTCCCACACGTGTCCATCCGCTGCAGAAAGTAGTCCCCGACACAGCGCTCACATCTCTGTGAGAGAAACCCCAGATTTTTTCATGTTCGCATGTCGAACTGCTCAGTTTTTATCCTTGAAAAAGCCAAAATATCTCTCTTTCTTTTTTTTTTTTTAAATACATGTAAACTCAGAATAAACTTTCCACTTTCTGAAAACCAGACGTGGGTGTTTCTCTCTTTACGGGAAGGGCGGAGGCCCTTTTTATTGATCTGGGTGGCAGGTGCACGGCTCCCGGAGCCTTGAAATACCGCGCATTTTGATTAAAAACCCGGAGAATTTCCTGAGTGGACCACATGTGCCGTCCACCTGGGGCCAGATCGGGTGTCGTCTGCTGTCTGGCCCCGAAATAGCTCTTTAAACAAACTTTTAAGGAGGAACCTCAAGGTTTAGTTTGCATTTTTTAAATTTGACACATTTTTCGGGGTTGGATTTAAGGTTTCGGGGCAGAAAGGGCCGGGTGGAAACTTTGGCTTTAATGTTTCAGTGAGGAATGCAGAAAATCACCTGCCGGCTTTGGTTAAAACGAGGAATCACAGGTCATTGTTCTGTCTCTAATCTGACCACAACACTTATGTATTTAGATAGATAGATAGATAGATAGATAGATAGATAGATAGATAGATAG